ACATATGTTTTCTGACGTGAATTTGATACTTGAATTAAGATTTGATGTTTTAAGTGTGTATTGGAAGGATTAGAGTGTGATAAGTGAGCCACAAGAGGTTTGAGAGAAATTGAATTGATGGGAGGAGTCACTATTTTGCAGGAAAGGAACTACGCAGAGAAAGCATTTTGATGTCCCCCTCTGGAATGATCACTTTTGCTGATAAAAGTGATCACGCAGAGGCAGGAAAGTTCACACACTTCTCTGGAACACTCACTCTCACTGATGAGAGTGACTAAGCAGAGACTGGCAGGAAATCAACCTCTCTGGAACACTCCCTTTCCCTGAAAAAAGTGGCTATGCATAGGTAAGTAGAAGTTGCCCTCTGTGCATGCTTCCTTTAAGTAAAAAAAAGGTTTCACATTGTTAGCGCGTTATCACTCTGCCTAGCAATAGTGATAACGCACTCCTCACCCTGAAAATTTAAACTCTCTGGAACGCTCACTCTGTTTAAAAATAGTAACAACGCTGGAAGCCTTTAATATGAAATGTTCAATTTTATTTTTGAAAGTCGTCACGTGCTCACGCGTGGTTATAAGTATAACTGAGAGTGAACACGCACAAACACTCTAACCTAAAATTCCATTCTTCCCTGAGCATTCTCTGATTTTGCAACCTCTGTGCTTATAGACCCAGAAGCAACTTACCTTTCTCACACATTTCTGCATCTTTCTTCAAGGTACGTTTTCCCCTATTTCTATGAATCTGTGATTAGGGTTCTATGTGTTTGATCTTTTGGGGAATATGTTGAATGAGGTAATGAGGCACTGTACTGATTTTATTTGATTCAATAATAGAATGGACAATACTCTGAAGAGGTTTTCCCTGTCATTCATGATTTTTTTTAGGAGATTCGAATCTACATTGTGCCATTTCTCTGAATAAAATTCTGCAGAAATTGAGTGACCTAAACAAACTTAAGTAAAATATTTGACTTGTAATTTGTTGAATGTAAATTTCTGATATTAGTTGATGATGGGTATTAGACTGCATATTTGTAAAAAGCTCATAATAATCATACTCTAATAAAATAGCATTCTGCTGAAATTGATTGGGTTGCAGAAATTTGTTGAAAAATTGAATTGACAACCTGTAAATATCCCTCTGTGTTACCCTGATATGCTCTGATAGTGAATGCACTCTGAATTTTCAAATTAGGGATATCAATTTAAAAATTTCTCTAAAGTTGATTACTCAATACTGTGCATCTGTATTTATATACTTGCATATTGAAATACCCTGACAGTAGATTGCATGTTAACTTGTTAGAAATATAGCAGCAATCTGTACTTTGTATCTTTGAGTATGCAAAATTAACTTGTCAAATTGGTTCTTTATTGCAGAAAACTAAAAATGGCAAGGACATCAAACAACACTCCAGTTGGATCTTCTAAGAAAACTCAAGCTGGATCCTCCAAGGGCACTACAAGATCAAAGAGGGGCAGAATGGATGGAGCTTCAACCTCTTCAAGTTGTATTTGGCTTTCTTAACTTCTTCAAGTTTTATTTCTATGTCAATAGCTTCTATAAACAATAAAAATGTATAAATTAGTTTAATTCTCTTATAAATTAAATATAATATTTAAATATTTAATAATTTAACTAAAGATAATAAATATTGATTATTTTATGTATTGGTTAAAAAATCATACTAATTAAAGTTAAATAGTCTCTAGAATATTCTAAATGCATATGAAATAATAGCTTAATTATGATTTTATTAATTTAATTTATATCCATATTTGAAAAGAGAAAAATAATTTTACATATTAGTATAGAAAAGCAAAGTTGTATAGGAACTGAAAATTTATGGCTCTCTCTTAACATAGACAAGAAAACTCAGCTAAAGTGAATAAAAATTCCTTAAAAGAATAAAGGAGCCCCTTGGCGGCAGCAAGGTGATCTTCTCCGTACTCTGTCTAAATCCAGTGCTTTGGCTTGAGGACAAGGTACTGATTACTACTTTGCTTATGTATTTAGTAATGTTGCATAGTTGTGTTGGACTTGCCATTTTGTGGACTTTGGGCCTTTTTTCCTTTAATAAAATATATACTCAATTCTAATTTCTGTTAAAAATAATTATAATTACTTATTACTATTGAATAAAAGATAAATGGTTGTGATTTTTGCTGCAAAGGCTGCAAGAATCTGGATCCCTAGACGATAATAGAATCTTATAAAATTTTTGAATTTGTACAAAAACTAGCCTAGCCAATACTTAACCTGTTTTCCAAAAGTTATATATATATATAGTTTGGACCCTATATCTCATTTCCATCATTAGCTTACAATTAGATTTAAATTAATTTTACACTAAAATCAGTCTATGCACACTCTTTCTCTACTAGAAGGGTGTCAGAACCTCTTTTTATGAATGATCAATGATCATGTATTACTATTTCATATATAAATTTATTTATAAAAAAATATAAAAAATATAAGGTAGAGGATAAAATTTTCAGAAATTAAATTTCAACATTCAACCTAATAACAAAACTCAAAGACAGTTTTCTATAACCCAAAAATTATATATAAGCATATATATATTTACAGCAGTTGCTCTACATAGAGCTCATAATACAAATTCATAAATAATAATTACATTTTTAAAAACTGTAGCTAAATAGTCTAGACCTATTACTAAGACCTAGACTATCGAAACAGCTAAAGCTATGATCTTCTTAAAAGAAAAGTATGATGACTTCAAAATTCCTTAGCTATACCTTCCAACATAAGATATGGATACATTTCCTATCACATTTGCTCACGTACCACCGTATGGTTACTGTAGCATGAACACACATCAACACAGACAAACACAAGGGTGAATTTATGTAACTAATAAACATCACTATAAGATATGGAAATGTTAGAAATATTTAAATAACTTAAACAATCCTCAGTAATTCAACACAACCGTTGACCCCATTTAATGCAAATGCAATATTTCAATCCCAACTGGTTTCACAGCCTAAGTATTTCAGAAGGAACTGTTCCCGGTCTGGGAGCAACCAATCCCAGTATTTGGATCCAGACACAACACAGCTCAGCATATCTAGCGTTACAAGTTTAACCACCTAAACATGTAACTCAGCTCTAGAATGATAAAAATTAGTATGATGTAGCACAACTATACATACATTCTCAACCTCAGTTATACAAATTTATGTTTACTTTTATGATAAACTAAACAGCTAACAATATTAATAAAACCTTTTAGCATATATCAACATCCTTAGTACATGTATCACAACTTTTCAACATGTCAAACTTTATCATAGCATTCAAACAATCATCAAACAACAAAGAAATCTCCTCAGTCATACATGCTCTAGGCTCTAATCTAAGGTTTGCTCATCCAACAAAATATTCTCAACTAAGATGAAGTTATCTATTGACTGAACAAAGCCGACTCAGGTAAGCTCCCCTTACCTGAAATGGGTTTCCTTAGTTTTGAATCTTCTTAAGTTCCAACTAGATCTGTACTTAATGAATGTTACCACTTGGATCGAGAGAAAGTTCAATTTCGGGAAGATTTTCTCTAAAGGGAAAAAGTGAAAGAACAGAGAGAAAACGAGAAGAAAATGTTATCTAGTGAGAAATGAATGTTTCTCTGTGCTGGGGTACCTTAAATACCCCTCCAAGCCCACTCATTCTCGCTTGAGCGAGCTAATCCTTGCTAGAGCCTTGATCTTGCCTAGGCGAGCTTATTCTCGCTTGGGTGAGAAAACCAGATAGTGGAACTCCCTAAATTTCTGCTATTCTCGCCTGAGCGATGAATGTCTCGCTTAAGCAAGCAGCGTTCTCGCCTAAGCAAGCAATGTTCTCGCCTGAGTGAGATTGGGTCTAGAGAGCTACCCATTTTTCCTGCGACTCCTCGCTTGAGCGAGCTTCTCTCGCTTGAGCGAGGTCGCCTTTCGCCTGAGCGAGATCCTTTCTCGCTTGGGCAAGAGGACAGTTGAAGTGATCCTATATGATCTCGCTTGAGCAAGAACACTTCAAAATGCTTAATTATGCACGACTTGGTCTCGCTTGAGAGAGAATTAGCTCGCTTGAGCAAGACACCATGTACCCAGAATTCTTAACAGAGGTAAAACAAGTCCTTGATTTCACTTTTTAGGTTATCACACACATAATACACTTAATGATATCAAACACAACAACTATTCTGCACCGTAATTGCTCAGCTCTTACATCAAAATTATACAGTTTTCGTCTTCGTATTTCAACATGTGAAAATCCATACACTTGAAGCATACACAAGACAATTCAAACAAAATAATACATATGTAAAACACACCGATCTGACAAGGGGGTGTTCTCAAAGTTTTCTAATTCATATAATAAATTTGTTTTGCTTTGAAATAACAAAAAAAACATGTTCATCAACATAAATTTTTGTTGATTTGCATTCATTTTGGTTTATTTTCATATGGTTTTACTAACGTCTTTAGAAAATATTTAAAAAATAATGTATTATTAAATTTAATATCTAAATTTCAAAGATAAATACCAACATCATATATATGTTAAAATTTGAAATGAATTATATGAATATCTAAATCATAATATTATATAGATATTTGCATTAAAAAAATGACAAACTGTACATATATATATAAGTGTATAGTTATTTATATTGTAGGAATAAATATTTACATCATATGTAAACATAGATATTCTGTATAAAAGCATGTTAATATCTTATATCTTAACATAGGTAAATAACTAATACTTAATTTTTTTTTCATATATATAATAAATTTTATTCAACATTGTACTTCAACGGTTTTTTGGGTGAAGATTATACTCCAATATTTTTTAATAATATTTCAGTTCAATAAATAGAAACTTTAGAAGTAGAAAAAAGAAAAAATATATATTTAACAATATATTTGATAAGAAAAATAGGTAACGGACTAAGGTTACCTTTGTTAGATCAATTAAAGATGACCTTCACATTAAAGCATTTTAACAATCTGTTCCATGGTAGGGCGAGATTGTGGGCTTTCAGTCAAGCATGCAATTGCTATCTTTGCAATGGTTAACATCTCCTTAGCAATAGGGTTTGTTGGATGAAGTTGACGTTGGTCCAACTTATCCATCAAAGACAAAGACATGTTATCAAGCGATGAAGGCACAACTGGGCATGAAGATGATAACAGTGAAGAAGATATAACATCACCAGGATGTTCTCCAAAAAGTATTTCCAATGTTAAGACTCCAAAACTATACACGTCGCATTTCTCATTTACTTCCATTGTGTAAGCAAGTTCTGCAACAAATTTTACGAATTATCATGTACAAATTGGATTTCATTGACAAACATGAAATGTAGATATATAATTCTGAAATAGTTGTACTTGTAAAGGACAACTAAAAATAAACTAAAAAAACATTTATATATCCTCAAATATTATAAAGAAAGGGAATTAATTACCTGGAGCAGCATATCCAAAGGTTCCTACGAATGAAGTCCAATTAGAAGAATCAGGATTGAGAAGCTTGGCTGTTCCAAAGTCTGAGACATGAGCTACATATTCAAAATCTAAAAGAATATTCTTGCTTGATATATCACGATGAACAATTGGAGGTGAACAAGCATGGTGCATATAGCTTAAGGCATTGGCTACACCTTTCACAACATTCACCCTCTTATGCCAATCAAATGCAATCGCTTCTTCATCATCCTTCAAAATCTTCTCGACACTACCCTTTTCCTGGAACTCATACACCAAAAATGAAAATTGTGGATGTGAACAAAACCCGTATAACCTCACAATGTTACGATGCCGAATTTTTGTCAAAGCTTCGATTTCACTTTCAAAAGCTTTTTGATTGAGCCTTTCTTCATTTGGAATTGAATGCAGTTTCTTCACAGCAACAACTTGACCCGTTGGTAACTTTGCTTTGTAAACACATCCTTGCCCTCCAACCCCAATGAGATATTTGTCGTCAAACTGTTCTGTGGCTTCAATAATATTCTCAAACATCATTTTGCCATCAAAATTCCATATTCCAAATATGTTTGGAGTTTGAAATTTTGCAACCTGGTATTCTTTTGTCTTTGAAGGTTGGCATAGATGATGCAAGACTCCAAAAACAAATAGTGAAAGTATTAGAGTGCCCAAAGTAAATGGTAAAACTACCATTATGACTTTCTTAATCTTATGATTATGAGATTTCCCACTTAATGTTGGGCAAGGCTCTAAGCCAGTGACATTACCACACAAGCCTTTATTATTTCTTAATGCTTCAATAGTAACATTGTGAAACACATGAATGTTTGGAAGTGGACCCTCTAATTGGTTGTATGATATATCAATAGATGTCAAGCCTATCAAATCATCAAAGCTAGAGAGATCACCTGAAAGATTATTGTGCGAGAGATTCAATGTTTCTAACATTGTCATTTCTGCAAGCATCGGTGGTATTGTTCCACTCAATGAATTTCCACTAAGATCAAGACTTCCAAGAGATTTCAGTTCACCTAGCTCAGAAGGAATATTTCCCTCGAATTCATTTTGGCTTAGATTCAAGTTCAACAATTTGAGCAACTTTCCAAGTTGTTTTGGGATTAAGCCAATCAAATTATTTGATCCAAGATCCAATGTTTGAAGTTCTTTCATTGATGCTATTTGTGTGGGAACATTTCCTGAAAGATTATTATTGTTGATTGCTAGATCATACAAGGTCAAATTACATAATTCTTGCGAAATGTTTCCTGTAAGATGGTTTGAAGATAGGTTAAGTGACTTCAAATTAGTTGCTTTGCTTAGTTCTGGTGGTATAACTCCTGATAAATGATTGTTGGAGATCTCGAGGCTTGCGAGACTACGAAACTTTCCCCAATTTGGTGAAAGATGACCGAAGAAATTGTTTTCACTCAATTCGATGTAGTTCAAATTTGGAAGTACACCAAAAGCATCTGTTATATCTCCAGTTAGTTGATTTTTCTGAAGCCTGACTCTGATAAGGCTGGAGCAATTTTTCAAACTCTCTGGAATTGGGCCTGTGAATTTATTATTGTAGGCAGAGAAGTTTGCCAACTTTCCACCAATGCAAATGTTGTGAGGTAAATGACCTATAAAATTATTATCATATAGTTGTAAACTTTCCAAATTCAGAAGCCTGTTCATTTCTATTGGAATCATGCCACGGAGTCTATTTTCACCAACACTAATGCCATTCAAATTGACTAAATTACCTATTGAAGGTGGGATTTGTCCAGTGAGTTCATTTGAAGATAAACCTAATACATTGAGCTTCGACAAATTTCCAATAGTGGAAGGAATGGATTCAGAGAGCTTATTTTCATCAAGGAAAAGATATTGTAAATTGATCAAGGTTCCAATTGTAGGTAGGATTTGTCCAGAGAGTTCATTTGAGAATAAATCTAATCCATTGAGCTTCGACAAATTTCCAATAGTGAAAGGAATGGATCCAGAGAGTATATTTCCATAAAGTAAAAGATATTGTAAATTGATCAACCTTCCAATTATAGATGGAATTTTACCAGATAGTTGATTATTTTGAAACTGAATGGATTCCAAATTGAGCAAGTTACCTATGGAAGTTGGTATTGGGCCAGACAGGTTGTTTCTTAACAATTGGATTGTGATCAGAGAACTGAGATTTCCCACTTCTTCAGGAATCGGACCAGATAGATTATTTTCATAAAGATAAAGATAATATAAACTGATTACGCTTCCAATTGTAGATGGAATTTTACCAGAGAGAGAGTTTTCAGACAAATCAAGTTCACCAAGATTTTTCAAAAATTCAATTTCATGAGGAATGGAGCCAGAAAGATTGTTATTTCCAAGATATAAAAGCTTGAGGTTAACCAACATCCCAATTTCACGAGGAATGTGACCAGAAAGTTGGTTGCTTTGTAACTTGAGAAGCGATATGTTAGCCAATCTTCCTATTGAAATAGGGATAGACCCAATGAGATTGCAGTTGCTCATGTCAAGCTCTATTAGATTCCCTAACATCCCAAGGTCTTGGGCCATGGAACCAGAGAGGCCACTCTCCTGAAGATATAGACTCTCTAGGTTCCTCATCTTCACTATTTCTTTGGGGATGGAACCATTGAATTTATTATCTGCAAGCGACAAATGTGTTAGGTCCATCTGCCAAATTCTCTGAGGAATGCTGCCAGAAAGGTTATTGCCTCCTACGTCTAGATGAGATAAATTCCTCAATCTACCAATTTCTTGAGGAAGGGATCCACTGAAATCATTATAACCCATTAACAAAGTATTAAGGCCAACCAATTGCGTTATTTCAGATGGAATAGTCCCAGACAGACCACTGAAACTAAGTTTCAGATGAGAGAGTTTAGACAGATTACCAATGGTAATGGGAATGCTACCAAAGAGTTTATTAGTTGACAAATCAAGAGTGTCAAGATTGGACAATGTCCCAATATGAGAAGGAATACTTCCATTGAAGGAGTTATTGCTTAAATCTATGATGAGAATGTTTGGAAGTAATGAGAAGTTGAGACTTTCAAGCGTACCTCTTAATCCAATATTTGGAAGACTTATGTTGGAAACATATTTGGATTTGTCACAAGCAATTCCCAGCCAGTTGTTGCAAGGATTATTGCCAGTCCATGAAGAGAGGGAAGCTTGGCTTTGGTTGTCAAGGGTGGCTTTCCACTTCAACAAAGCATTTGTTTCTCTGCTTTGTATGGTAGCTGAAGCAGAGGAAACATGCACATTGGAATTAGCATGATTAGAAGAGGCCACTATAAGTGCACAGAAGCACATTACAAGAAGCATCCAAAGTGGTTGGAGCTTCATGACAAATATGAACATGCTGAATTCTTCAATCACTGTTTGTCTAATACAAAGGCAGGGGAGAACTACTTACATGCATTCATGAGATGTTACAAATATTTATATGCAAAAAGTCAATGATAGAAGACCAAAGTCAAGAAACGGGGTAGCTATATAGATATGTTAAAGCGTATTTGAAAAGGTTTAAGATAACAAATAAAAATATTTTTTTCAGCAAAGTATCCTCTTAATTGTTAAGAAATTAAGGGTTTATTTAATTTATTTTTAATTTTTAATTTTTAAAAATTATATTTTAAAACTATTTTATAAAACTATTTTTAGGAAAAAAGATAAAATAAAATTTGTTTGATAATTTAATTTTTAAAACTATTTTTAGTTAAACTTTTGTTAGTTTTAGAAAGAAAAACAGAAAAATAAAAACAAAAAAACCCTAAATAGTAATTTTGTTTCTTAATTTTAAAAACTAAAAATAAAATATTTTTAAAACTTACATTAATAAGCAAGTTTTTCTATTTTTAATTTTAAAAATAAAAAACTCTATTTAAAAAGAGTAAACAAACTCTAAGAGTCCGTTTGGTTTTTTGAAAAAAAAAATTATTTTTTACTTTTAATTAAAAATTTGTCACTATTTTAATTTTTTTCTCCTGTTTTTCAGATTTATACAAGTGAAAGTCATATTCTCCTGGTGACTGCAATTTAGGCACACCAAGCATCCCTATCGTAAAATATTTTCTTTATTAATTCATAGTCTCCTAAAATTAATTTTAAATCTATTTTAAATTTAAATTAATTTTAAAGCAAAACAATTTTTTGTTTCTAAATATTTTCCATTTATATTTCAAGTTATTTAATTTTTTCAGTTTTTAAATTGTATTTTTCACTTATACTGTCCATTTATGTAAGTAAAAAATGATTTTTTTTCATTCTAACTATTATTATTATTATTATTATTCAAGACTTGTTTAGAAAAACTTGTTAACAATTTATAAAAAAAAATAACTTACAAGTCTCATAAGTTATTTTTAGTTTATATCAATCAATTTTATCACCAAATTTGTAGTATAAGTTATTATTTAAAAAAAATATTAAATTTAAACACAAGACAAATAGAAATAATAGTAAAATTAAATGAATTTATAATAAATGCAATTCCCGGAGGGTGAAACCAACGTTTCTTATATAAGATTTTGTATAAGTTTATAGCACTTTTAGGTATAATTTATGGCAGTTAATGACCTCCACAAGATTATGCATGCTAAAGAATATAAAATGCTAAGGTAAATCAAACTCCACATATACGACCCATATCAATTTTCTAAAAAGTTTTAAATTTATAGTATTTGAGTGTTAAGTTTTTCTTTTGTATTTGTCCCCCGTTTTTTCTTTCAGAAACACTATAATTATTTGCAGTAAGGTGAAGAACCTGTTATATTACGAAATTGAAAAAAATTACCTTGAAGAGATGATTATACAACAAAATTAGTGTAAATTTTAAAACTTTTACAAAATTTATTTAAGTTATACATGTGGAGTTGACTTACCTTAATACTTCTGTAGAACGTGCATAAGTTTTTGGTGACAATTTTAACATTGGGTCGTCATGATTAAGTGTTAGAATAGCTTGTATTTATTTAATAATAATAAATTTTTAGTATAGTATTATCAAAACAAATGTTGTAATGCCTTATTGGTTAGTATAAATTTTTAAAATTTATATTAATACTTTTTATAAAAAAATTAAACTACAAATAGTTATTTTAATGTTTGATAATTTTTATTTATTAATAAAGTATAATATCATATAAATATAAATTTTTAGTAATTTAAATAATAAATTTATTAGAATATTTTTAGGTTTAGAAACAACATGGAAAATGTAATTAACTTTAGTCAAGTCATTCTTTTTGGTCTGGATGTGCGTGTTGTGTATTTAAGCAAAGTCTACTCACAGAAATTTCGCCGACAGATTAATTCTACCCTTTCCTATCACTTTTAAAAAGTGAATTGACAATGTGATGTTACAAATTCTCAACGCAATTAAGTGTATCTAACGCGACAAATAACACAAGAAATCATTCCACAGTTAAAATAAGGTGATAAAAATTTTTATTTTCAGTATTTATTAAATTAGTATAATATGATAATTTATTCTGTTAAATTATTTCAATTTTTATAATTTAAATTTTTATTTAGAGAATGTAGAGAAATAAAAACTAATTAGCTTGAGTCAAGTCACTCTTATATGTCTACCTAAAAATTTTCTAACTGAACGACTAATTCTACCCTTCCTAACACGTTCTTAAAATGAATGGACAACATGATGTTACAAATTTGATGTTACAAATTCTTTACGTAAACATAACGCCAAAAATAAAATAAGGACTCGTTCAACGCTTAAAGTACAATGATAAATTATTTTATTTTTAGTATTTATTAAATTAGTACAATACGATAATTTATTTTGTTAAATTATTTTATTTTATCTTTATAATTTAAATTTTTATTTACAAAAGAGTGATGAGTTAAGAATAATTGCAATAAGATATTTTTTTCTTATTAATACATCATTTTATTTTATTTTAAGTGAAAAAAATAGACAAACTACAACACTTGTAAATTGTCTAGAACAAAAAAAATAAAAAAACTGCATTTAGAATTACAAGAAGGTGAAAGAAATTTTCTAATAAAAGTATTAAATGAGTTAATTTATCATGAATAATATAACACCTGAATATATGAGAGAAGTCTAACATGAGATTGTAAATCTTATGTAGAGTATAACATATTTTAAAATAGACTAATCTTAATTTTTTTAGAATAAAGTTTACTGCTTATAAACAATTAAATTTTAAAATTAGTGATAATTTTTTAATCTTACCAAGTGAAAACCCTAATAAATTACTTTTAAATCAAAATAGAGAATAGACTCATTACCATTAAAAGAAGTAAATTCAATTAGTTATTTATTATTACAATTTTATATAATACAGTCACAACTCATATGGTGATTCTTACCATTATCATCCATATTAATTTTATAGTACTCTCAAGATAGTGAATCTCATGGCATCTTCAAAAAGATGAGTTTGAAGGCTAACTTGTTTGAAACTAATAGATAGCAATTCTTTTTAATCTGACTAATGAAATATAAAACATGATAGATACTCAATTTCTCCTCATCAAAGAGCAAATTATTCTTTCAACATCAAAGTTGTCAGATCAGTGTAATTATATATGTATTTATTATTCTTATTAAACAATATTGTGTAGGCTCAAACTATATGAATCGTTCATATATTGGAAATGTACATGTTGTATAATTGTCAGAAAAGGAGCAGTGTATTTGCAGTGATGTGTGATGATATTGTTATATATGATCAGAAAGGCACGTTAGAGATTGATTGTTAAGTGAGTTATGCATAGGATAATCTAGGGGGAATGGTCAAGAGCTAGTATTATCTCATTCGGGAGAGAGATTGGGAGTTCTGGGTGCAAGGTGTCTCACTCAAGTGAGACTAAGTCGTGTAAGATTGAGCATTTTAGAGCGTTCTCACTCAAGCGAGAGCAGATAGGATCACCCCAATTGTCCCCTCACCTAGAAGAGAGGGATCTCTCTCAGGCGAGCGGCAACCTCACTCAAGCGAGAGGAGCTCGCTCAAGTGAGGAGTGGCACGAAGGATGGGTAGCTCTTTGGACCCAGCCTCACTCAGGCGAGAACTCTGCTCACTTAGGCAAGATGCAGCTTGGTCAGGTGAGATGTTCCTCGCTTAAGCCAAAATAACAGAAATTTAGGAAGTTTCACTATCTGTTTTTCTCACCCCAGGCGAGGATAAGCTTGCCCAGGCAAGGCAGGGCTCTCTCAAAGAAGAGTGTGCGGGTCTAGAGGGGTATTTAAGGAACTCCAGTGCATAAAAATGTTCATTTCTCACCAGAAAGCCCTTCCTCTCTCATTTTCTCTTTGTTCTCTCACCTTCATACCTGAAAGGGAACCTTATCAAGGCCAAAATTCTTCCCGATCGAGTGGGAACCTTTTTTTGGTACGAATCTAGGTGAGCTCTTAAGATCCTACTCTCCAAAGGTGCTAACATTGCTATGAAAGTAAAAGTTGATACTTCATGACTTTGGTATAGAAGATTTGGCCACTTCAATACTCATGCCTTAAAACTATTATATCAAAGGAATATGATGAAAGATCTTCCATATCTAAAAGAAAATAATGAAGTTTGTGAAGGATGTCTCCTTAGCAAGCAACATTGACTGTCGTTTTCTCTTGAGAAAGCTTGGAGAGCAAAAGACTTATTAGAGCTAATTCATACAAATATTTGTGGACCAATGTGAACACCATTACTTTATAACAATAGATATTTTATCCTTTTCATTGATGACTTTTTTAGAATGACTTGAGTCTACTTCATTAAAGCAAAATCAGAAGTGTTTGGAATATTGAAAAAGTTTAAGGCTCTTGTCGAGAAGCAAAATAGTAAACAGATAAAAGTATTAAGAAGTGATCATGGTAAAGAGTACACCTCTTAAGAGTTTGATAAATTTTGTACGAATGAAAGTATTGAGCAACAACTTACTGTCACATATTCTCCATAACAAAATGGAGTAACTGAGAGAAAAAATCGCATGGTAATAGAGATGGCTAGATCAATGCTAAAGGAGAAAGAATTACCAAATACTTTCTCGACTGAAGTAGTTTATACTACTGTTTATATACTTAACGATGTTCAACAAAGACTGTCCAAGATAGAAATCTGATTGAAACTCAAAGCGAGCAAAAACCATCAATAAAACACCTGAGTTTTTGGATCTATTTGCCACATACACATTCCAAAAGAAAAGAGACACAAACTAGAAGACAAAATTGTACAAGATATCTTCTTGGGGTATAACACACAATCAAAAGGATAGCGAGTCTACAACTTGCAAATCAAAATGTTCATGGAAAGATAAAAAAAGTTTAGAAAAATGTTTACATACCAATGCAACAACCTCAAGAAATTGAAGAAGTCTCA